CAAAATAAATGAATAAATAAGTATAAATAATAAAGACATTAAAGCTTATGAACTATCCATTTAACCCAAGGCTTAATTATTTTAATAATTAGTTGTCGAATAATTAAGTGATATGTATTAGAAATGAAATGAACAGTAAAAAATACCTACGTGAAATTGAATCTATGGAAAATCGGCATCTATGCATTATCAATCAAACCATTTATTGATATTATATAAATATAAATATAAGTATTCAGCGAATTCTGATGTTTGGATCAATAAACTTTGGCAAATGGCTTTGGCTGATGGATTGCTTTGGAAATGTGACCGCCAATTTGTGCGAAGGAGTCGTGAAACCCTGATGATTCAGCGCTGGACTTTTGTCAATATTGTGGCAGACATCGCAAGAGTATGAAGCAATTCATAGATAAAATTCTCTACTTGACTTATGCAGTGTTATGTAAGTATGAGACGCCTCATTAGAGGGGGCAAGGTTAGGCAATAATAAGTAGGTAGGCACACAGCTGACAACTACTCTTGTTTGGGTGCTCAGTATTTTTCGCAAAAAATGGCTTCACGCTTTGGGGATACTTTTCATGGAAGAAGAGGACTTCACACAAATCATTAGTCGCAACTCCAGAACGATCCGCCTTCGGTGTCAGGCCAATTTTATAATCCCTCTTATTCAACTTGCCAAACGAAATAAAAGGTATCTTCAACGCTTTGAAATCATTAGGGGTATCTTCAAAATCCAAATTTTCTTAAATGCATGCAATTATCAATCCTGTAAAAAAATTCATCAACTTATATGAATGCCTCAAAATTAATGTCCAAGCAAGTTAGTCACATTTATTTTTTAGAAATTGTCCTATTTCAGTGGGATCATGCCTACATTTTATATTATATGCAGTTCAGATTTTCCACATAAATCAAATAAGATTTTGAGTGTCCCAAGAGTTGGTTGAAAGTAAACTCCAATAAAATAAAACAAAATTACAAGAGCTGTATTGACTATATTTAATTTAAAGTGATAGAGGATTTGTAGTTAAATTTTCCCACAATTATGTGAGTAGACCCTATGTCTCCATTGAATTTCGCATGGCCTTGCTTCCCAAAAGGTGAAATTTAATTTGATGCATGACGACAAAGTAGTATGGAGGATTTCATTAGGTTAATTAATAGAATAGATAGAGCAAATGAATCCAGATATAAGTTAGAAAAATAATGATAGGCGAACACTTTGGGATGTTGTAGTTAGAAAAGTAGGGATCATTAGGTAGGGGTGTGTATATAAAGCCAGAAGATACAAGTTTCCTTTATAATTTATTTTCGAAGCATATTAGTGGGTCAAGGTAAAAATAATAAGATAGAAATATACCTGATTCTAGATTTAAATCAAAGGGATCGACAAGTGGAAGGTTAATTAAACATTTTATTTTAGAAAACTGTAGAGTATTTTGGAACATAAAAAAGTTGGACAAGAGAATACAGCTTTCTGTAGTAAAGTAAGATGTAGACAACTTTCCTGTGTTCCTGATGTTACTGTACTTTTAGTTTTCGAAAAGTTATAACTGCTTAGGCAGAGACTTTATTAATTGCAGCCTAGGTCCCATCAACACTTCGGCAAGATTCAACAGTAGATTAGGCTGACATGGCGGCATAGCCACTATACAATACAGGCACGGGTTCTGGTGGGTCACAGGGAAAATGTGATGAACCCAAGGCTAAGTTAAATTCAATGAACAGATGAGTTATACTCATAGCATTTTTCGCAAATTTAAATATCAGTCCTTCATCATTTTATGCGACCTAGTGTAACTGAAACTCTTATTCAAATCACATGATGCCTCATTAAGATCACCACATTAAATCAAAAGGAGCTAATAAGGCATCTGGCTACCATCTCTTGGCTTAGTGTTTGATATCACTTGAGAGATGAAATCTCAGCATGGATTCATTGGAGTCGTAGGAAGGTTGACAAAGGACTTGTCTGCATAAATAAAGTCCGAGGCAATTCATGTCCGGTTTCAAGCTAAGCCAATTTTTGAATAAAGTCCACCAAAATTAACAAGTGAAATGAAAGTCCCAATAAAATTATTTACAGCATGAATGCATAAACTCCATTCACGTGCAATTTTTGGTTTGTTTGAAGAATAATAATGTTTTACGCATATCTTGGTTAAATTAAGCATCGTTTGTGCTTTATGAATAGCTCGCATGAGGTCAAGAAAATTAGGAAGGGCTAGAATAAATGTCGTTTTGACTAGAATGACGACCAAAAAAGGAGCGCAATCGACTTAAGATAGGAATAATTAATGATAGCGGTGAATGCGTAACACTTACTGAAATGCGTTGCTTGGCTTCTCGCCAATATCGCTCAGTCTCAGGACACATGTCCGGACAATTTCCACGAACTACATCAACATTGGCATGTCGACGGAAGGACCAATCATCCGAAGCGCAAGCTCCTAACCCATTCCATTCATGTGGCGACGTAGTGGCACAAGAAAACTTTGCCTCATTTGCAGCAGTTATGCGCACTCGACGACGAGCCTCATCTCGGCGCTCGAGTAGGGTGAGACGTTCGTCAACAGTTGACACTGTAGTGGCGGGAAAAGAACGCCCGGTCTTCTTAATTTGAGTTTGTAGATCAGAAGTCCCAGTAATTAAGTGACCACGAGCGCCAATCTGGCCAGTAGACCTGGACGAGTCAGCAAAAGAATCGTCTCGAATATTTTGAGCATCTTTGGCGATCCGGTCAAAAGAGCGATCCATATTGACAAGAGAACCGGCAGAAGAGAACCTATGCTGAGACTTAAGACAATTTTTAGTTGACTCATCAAAAAGCCTCTGTCGGGTAATATCCAGATTATGGGCAG